CAGAAGTTTCCAGTCTGAGGAAACAGGACCAGCTGAGGAATTGGCAAGGTGAGATAGCTGTGGCTTGTTCTGTCTCTCTGACCTTCCAGTATTCACCCCAATAACTGGCCTCAGGTTTGATTTTATTAATAAGAACTTTTAAGATTCCTGCAACAGGAATACAATACATGTTTATCAACTGTTTGTTTGGGTTAAGCTTAGTGGTCTGTAGTCAGTTGTAAACTTTCAATTTGTTCACTGGATAATCACTGGATAATAAAAATGAGCCATGGTGCACCATGGTTCTGAATATTGTCAGGTGTAATCTATTTACAACTCTAGGACCTAGATGTTGCCATTAATCCACTGAAAGTATGTTTTATCTGGTATTTCTGGCACTTGACATTGCCTTCTCTCTCTCTGACTTTGCCTATACATTCTCTTCTGACTCTACTGCTATCTGAGCTCTTTCTGGTGATGTTCTCCATTCTTGGGCCTCCAGTCTTGATAGCCTGAAAGCTTTGTAAAGCTTGGCAAAACACCTCTGTCAACAGCCGTGTTCAAAGTCAGGAGCACAAAATATGACACATGAAGAAATTCAGTACCAAGAAAGCACTGTGGTGACTTCCAGTGAATGCACACAGTTCATTTGCACAGTGGGATTTCTCCCCTGGAAATGAAAATTATGATGGCTGCAGTTTAGTCAAGAAAGGGAACAGAGTTTCTCTGTGAGATTGTGAGATCCACATGACAGGTTACAGTTTTACTTGAAGGATACAAGCTCCTCAATCATTAACTTTAAAGTGTGATTTCTATTTTGATAGAAAGTGGCTAAAGACTCCCTAGATTGACAGTCTAATCTAGAATTGCTGTTAACTTGATGGCTATCTCAGGACATCTATTTCTTATAAGTAACTCCCTCTAGGAATCACACATACGGAAAGACAAGCAGTACCATTCTAAACTCACTGAAAACAGAGAAGCAAAACACAGTGCCTCCCACCTGCGATCCCAGCAGACTGGAGGCTGAGGTGGGTGGACTGCTGTCAGTCCAAGGCCAGTTTGGGCTCCAGTATGAGATTCTGTCTCAAAGAAAAACAACTTGGGCAACTGACAAGGCCTACCAGAAGTTGTTCAGGTTGATTTTTAGCACCTTACCTCATTGTTAATTCATTCAGTCTCTGTCACCTTGACATAACACATACTTGATTTCTACTGGATCTGTGTCTCCCAACTTACAAGTCTAGTGTATATGTGCATAGAAACCATTTTCATTTTAACAATGCTTATGATTTCTTGGCTTACAGTCTCTACTGTATACAAAATTGCAGATGTATAAGGTGACATCCTGGCATTAGGGCTTCTTGAAACTCCCTTATTTTAGTTCCTATACTAACAGTTCAGAACCTCTAATTTCTCCACTGGCCATTTTCATTTTACCCATACATCCTACTGTGTCTAGATTGCTTCACACATCCTTTAAGCAAATGTCTAACACCCCTGAGCTTGCTTTATCTCAATCTCTGTCCATTTTTATTTCTCTGTATTACCCTGACTGAGGTAGAATTCCAACTTTAGCTAATTTTGCTCTCATTTTTTTCCTTGTGACTGCTTCATTGTATTTTGTTCTAGAATTCTTAGGCTGTGTGTATAAAACTTATTTTTGGAAGAGTTTAATGTACCTGTCAGATTTCATGGCTAGAATGTATGTAAATCAGGGATATTGCCAATAGACTCTATGATTCAAATTTTTCATATATATATTTTGACTATGGGCAATAAATAGCTGGAAGTGAATTGAAAAGGCTTTAGATGCTGTTCAACAAAACTAGTCTAAGAGATGAGACAGAGTCCCAACCCTCATTATGGACTGAGGAATTAAGAGTCCAAATAATCAGAACAACTTTTGTGGAAACAAATATGTAATGGCTAATATTGATGTGATTTTAAGAATGCTGACAAAAAAAGCCCTGTTAACATAAGCTATACTGTGAATGACACTTATATTGGGAATAAAAGATCTGGTGTATTACTAGTCACTTGGGCTTGTGTTCCTATATTTTGTTTTTCTTTGAGACAGAGTATTACACTCTAGTACAGGCTAGCCTGGACAGCAATATACAGATAAAGCTAGTCTTGAACTTGCCTGCCTCAGCCTCCCAAATGCTAGGATTATAGAATTGTAACTCTATCCCCAGCTTGGAGAGATGAAAAACCACAATATAGATGCCACAATATTTAAGGAATTCAAGGATATAGGCTTGACAATGGAGGGGAAAATTAAAAAATAACAATAATGAAAGAATTCATGCAAAATATTTTTAACAGGAAAACTTAATAGCTAAAAAGAGAAATGACATGAAGAGGCATTTCAGTGAAATGAAAATATTAATAAACATGTGCAGAGGTAGTACAGTTCCTAAGTATCATAAAAATACAAATAGAAAATGCAGTATGTGGGGCTCGGAAGTTGGCTCAGCTGGTTTCACTTGCTCTGAAAGCATGAGGACCTGAGTTCAGATCCCCAACACCCATGTAAAAGGCATGTAAAAAGCATGACTGTGCCTATATATATATATATATATATATATATATATATATATATATATATATATATAAAACAACTGCACTAGGGAGCAGAGACAGACAGATCCAGAGAGGTCACTGTCCAGCCAATGCGTCCAAAGCAATAAACTTTCTGTTCAGTAAAAGACTTTCCCTCAGTAAGGTAGAGAGCAAAATAGAGGTATCCATTCAACGTCATCCTGTAGTTTTCCCATGCATGTAACACACACACACACACACACACACACACATGCCCATCTGTATATGTGTGACTGAGTTTGTGATGGATATAGAGATATGAAGAAAATAGTACTGCATGGTTTTTCTTTTGTAGGAAAATTAGGCTAATAGCTAAATTTGAAAATTAGAGGCAGTTGTTAGCAAGGTATTATCTCTTTATTCCTTTAGGTATGGCTTTCAATGGATGGTGGCAATACTTTTGAATTAGTGTGTGACTTTCTAAGTAACTATGTAAGGAAGACTGCTCATAGTTTTTATACTTCAGAAATATCTTTGATTACAAAAAATGGAAAGATTTACATGACAAAGGCAGGTAAGGATTTTTCAATTTAGGGTTCTAAATTCACTCAACATGTGGGTCACAAATGTTTAAAAAAATATTGTATTAACCAAATAATAATAAGGCCACAAATATAGTGGGTAATGGATTTGTTGTATCTACAGAGACAAATCATATAAATAGCCATAATAAAAGAAGAACCCTGGGTTAGCATGCTGTATTCTCAGTGCTGTGTACTTTTCCCAAACCAAATAATTGTACATGCCATAATGGAGATAGATATTTGCTCCACATGTTATAGACAACATATCATTTAATACTCACAAACACAGTGTAAAAGAAGGTGGTGTTTGCTTTGATCTTGCTGATAAAGTAGATCATTTTAGGTCACAGAAACTTAAGAGGTGGCACTATACGAATGATTATTTGCCTCCATCTTCTCACAGTCCTTCATCAAGCAACAAGGCTGTCAGCTAATTGCACAGTGAAAAAAACAGCTAGTAGTGACTGAACTAACCTACTGTTGCCTGTTCCCTTCCAATACAGTTGAATGCTGCCAACCAGACTCAGGACCTGAATCATGAAGGGAATGGTCCTCATATCTCTGTATCCATCTGATCTGCATTTTCATTTTCTTATTCTCTCATTGAGTTTTTGAAATCTTCTTGTAGTGAATTATTTTTCTATTTTGTTAATGATTTTTATTAAAATATGATTACATGATTTTCCCTTCCCTTTCTTCCCTCTAATCCCTATCATGTATGTTGCCCCTCTTTCTCTCAAATTCTATCATTCATTAAGTGTTGTGAAATGTATACCCACAGGCACACAATCTGTTCAGTCCATATACTGTATATAATAATATATAATGTGATACTACATATATACATATACATATATACATATAAATTTACCACTGACCACTTGATATGGACAAATGTATCAGGATACTCTTTCTTGGGGAAGGCTATTTCTCCTTCTCTCAGTATTCCTTACTTGCCTGTAGTTCTTCCTCTGTTGGTAATTTGTTCGAGTTTTGTTTGGGAGTCATATTGTTGGGACTTCATAGGTGTATCTCACCTGATATTTCTAGTGGGTAGAAATAACACACAGAAGATACCCTCACTCCCTTTTCTGGCTCTTCCAGTCTTTCTTCCACAATACTACCTGAGCATATGGTGCAAGAGTTGTATTGTCAGTATATCAGTTGTAGCTGAGAACCACATGGCCATTGTTCTCTGCCTTTTGATTAGTTTGCTTCCCTGTAATGGCTGTCCATTGAAAATAGAAATTTCTTTGACAAGGGCTGAAAGCTACATTTAACTATGGATTTAATGATAAATATTTAGAATACAATTAGGAATTATGCTGGTTTAGTAAAGTGGTGGTTATAAATTCCCATCCAAGATCCATGATCTCAGAAACCCAGAGTAGTTACTTAGATTTCTACCAGTCGTGTCTTTCCTCTTATTGATAGGAATAGTAAAAGAGCTGTTGATTACCACCAAGATATGTGTCTTAGTGTTTCTATTGCTGTGAAGTGATACCATGACCAAGGCAACTCTTATAAAGGAATACATTTAATTGTAGCAGTTCATTTACAGATGAGAGGTTCAGTCCATTATCGTCATGGTGGGATACGGTGGCATGCAGGCAGACATGGTGCTAGAGAGGTAGCTGAGAGTCCTACATCTTGCAGACAACAGGAAATGGTCTGACTCACTGGGAGTAGCTTGAGCATAGGTATAGACGAATTTCTAAGTGGTCTTATTAAATAAAAAAAAAACATTGAGCCAAATATAGGGGTGAAAGCCTTAGAGATTAGGGAAATAAGAATAGGCACCAACTAAATTTACCTCACCACTCCACAGCTTCCAAAGTGAGTTACTTCCTATCTACCTGTGCCTTTATTGATTTGCTGTTCTGCCCTCTCATTGGCTCTTAGCCCAGCTACCTTATTTCCTTGTCACTGCCTGTCTGTACAAACCTCCAAGTCTCTATGGTTGATACTGTGATTAAAGGCATGTGTCACCACGCTTGGCTCTGTTCTCTAGTATGGTCTTGAACACACAGAGATCCTGCCTGATAAGTGATCAGATTAAGGGCATGTGCTACCACTGCCTGACTTCTATGTTTACATAAAATGGCTTGCTATTTCCTCTGATCTCCAGGCAAACTTTATTTATTATCATACAAATAAAATATCACCACACATAGGAGACCTAAAGCTCACCCCCACAGGGACACACTTCCTCCAACAAAGTCACACCTCCTAATAATGCCACTCCCTTTGGAGGCCATTTTCCTTCAAACCACATGCCACTATTGTACCCTTAGGGTTATCATGTCATGCTGGTAATTGTTGCAATTGCTATAAAGGTTTGATAGCTATGTGGAACTAATGGCTGCTTCCCTCCCTTGGAAGCTTGCATGATACCTTCTAAATGCTTTCAAGTCAGATCCAGCATGGATCCTCTGTTCAAACTGCAAGGTGGCTTCAGCAATAGGACTTACCATCAACCTCTGGGAAGCAACCAAGGGCAACAGCAATAGCCTATAATGCTTGGGAGATTTTGGGGCTTCCCAGACCAACAAATTGAGAGTTTCTCATGCCTAGTATTGGGGTTTTTGTTAGATAGTCTGTGGCTCTTGGAGCATTATCAGCCCAGGTGAGAAATTTCATTTCAAAAATTATATGTATGTACAGACATACGCATACACATACACACACACACACACACACACACACACAATTTTTGTAAATAGATAATAATATGATTTTTTATGATGTGGTCATTTTAGAAAAGCTTTCACAATACTGCTGAGTAGAAAGTGTATTCCTCAGTGTTTAGGCAGAATGTGATGTAGATATCTGTTAAGTCCATTTGATGTATGATGCCATTTAATTCTGATGTTTCTGCATTTATTTTACATCCAAATGACCTGTCTGTTGGACAAATGGGTTTTGAAATCACCTACTATGGATGGATTGATGTTAATCTGTATCTTTAATTCCAATAGTATACTTTTTATGAAGGTGTATGCATTTGAGTTTGGTATGCCTATGCTTAGGAGGATAGTATCTTCTCAGTTAATTGTGCCCTTGATTAGAATGAAGTTTCTCTCTTTATCTCTTCTGGTTAGTTTTAGTTTCAAGTCTATTTTGTCAAATATTAGTATGGCTGCACTTATTTGATTCCTGGTCTTATTTGACTTTCTATCACCATTTCACTTTATGGTGGTACCTATCCTTAATGCTAAAGTGAGTTTCTTGTAGACAACAAATAGGTGCATTTTGTTTCTTGATCCATTCCACCAGCCTCTATCTTTCGATTGAAGAATTTAAGCCGTTAATATTTGAAATTATTCTTGAAAAAAATCTATGTGTTGTTTGCAGTGATACTGTTTGTGTTTTGTGTTTCAGTAGTTATAGCTTCTTTTATTTTCTTTGTAAAGTCTCCTGGCTGTGCTTATTCCTCTCTTCAGCTGAAAGTACTGCTTCCTGTATTTTGTTTAGGATTGGTCCACTGGGTATAAGTTCTTTAAGGCTGTTTGGATTACGGAAAGATTTTCTTTCTCCTTCAACTATGGCAGCTAGTTTTACTGGGTACAGTTATCTAGGCTGGCAGTTGTGGTCTTTTCGAACTTGGAATACATTGTTCCAGGCTATTCTGGATTTTTAAGTTACAACTGAAATTAGCTATTATCCTAGTAAGTTTTCTTTTATATATGACTTCTTTTTCTCTCTCTCTCTTGTAGGTTTCAATAGACTACCTTTATTATGTATACTTAGTGTTTTAACTATAATATGCTGTGTGGATTTTCTTTTCTGGTCTCTTTTGTTGATTTGGTGTTCTGTGTGCTCCTTGTATTTGTATGTGTGTGTCTTTTCTTAGTTTGAGGAAGTTTTTTTCTATGATCTTATAGACAATTTGGTCTGTACCATTGCTGGGATTCTTCTCCCTTATCTGGAATTCTAAGATTTGGTCTTTTCATAGTGTTCCACACTTCCTCTACATTATTTTCCTGTGTTTTAAAAATGTCTTCCTATTTTTTCTTATTTGGTCTAGATCCTCTATTTTATCTTCAGATCCTGATAGTCTTTCTTCTGCTTGATTCACTTTACTTGCAAGGCTTTACAATGTTCTAGTTGTGTTATTGGGTTTTTCAATTCCATAATCATTTTAGCATGACTCCTCTTCACCGATTCTCTTTATTGAATTATGTTCTCAAGTTCTGGGTTTCCTCACCATTTCCACAATCCTTAATGTTTGTGTTTTCTTGGCATCACTCTGGCACTTACTCTCTTACAGTTTCTCTATGAGTTTACCAAGTAGGTTGTGTGCCTTCTTTAAACTCCTTGAACTCTTGGTGACGTTTATGATTGTCCTTTTAAATTCTGTGTCCTGGGGTTTGGCTAGGTATTTTTTGTTGGATAACATTTGTATGGAACTGGTGGATTTGGGAGAAGGAAATACTGCCCAGATCTTTCATAGTATGTATTTTTGCAGTAAGATCTAGGAATGTGGACTTCTTTTGTTAGTTCTGTGTCTATATTAGATGTCAAAGACTGTTACAGAATACAGAATATGTGGGTCAGGTTTAGGCTGCAGATTGGATATGGCTTAGATGGAATGAATTCAGACTCAGGGGCAAGGCTGCTCTGCAGGATGTACATCCTAGTTCAAGCCTAGAGTTTGGGGGTAGATCTGGGGGCTGGGGAGGGTGAATGGAAGGAAAGATCAGGTGTACTCACCCAGTTAGTGCCTGCCATAAGATGTGAAGAGGTTGGTTGTGGCATAAGAGGTGTCAAGGTCCTCTGTAATGAATTCATTAATGAAGGTCCTTTAATGCAAAATATTGAGGAAAGATTACCTTTTATTGTTGGATATGCTTGGTTTCAAATGGACATTTTTTTTTTGATTTTTTCGAGACAGGGTTTCTCTGTGTAGTTTTGCGCCTTTCCTGGGACTCACTTGGTAGCCCAGGCTGGCCTCAAACTCACAGAGATCCGCCTGGCTCTGCCTCCCGAG